ATATATATATATATATATATATATATATATACATACTGTATATATTCAGTATCTCATGCACCATTACAGTTTTATAGTAAAGATTTGACTCAGCTTACATGGTGTATTTATCATAATATGTTTTATGTGGATTTGCTTATTGAGTCTTATGGTGGGCCTTGAGGTTATACAAGGAGCTCAAAGACTGGCCTCCATAACCTCAGTCTGTCTTATACCCCAAACAGATGCGTCTAGAACTCCCTCACACTTCATCACTTCCCTTGCACGCTTCTGCGTGAGGATTCTACAATGATCGTTATTATGTGACTATCGGAAATAGAGGCCCATATGTGTCAGAATCCGAAACTGGGCAGAAAGTACTTCTTTGTCCCTCAGTGATAAGCTATTTTTTTGCACTGGCAGCCAGACTGTCCCAAAGCATCTGGCCTCTTGCATTTTAAATATGGTTAATGATTAAAACAGACGTCCACTTTGTCTAAGAATGGTTTAACGAAGCTGTAAACATCTCAATCCATCATGGCCACAGGAAGGAGCTGATTGATACTTTATAGGAAACTAAAAGCTTTAATTTCTATGCAAAGCACTTAAAGATTCCTCTCAGACATCACGTTCTGCTGATGCATCTTGTTTTGACGCGTATTTGGAGGTTGGTCTAGCTGAAGCACCAATTTGGACTAATCCGCTGCATTTTAGAGTGTTTATCTTGTGCTTTTGATGCTAGGTTGCGTAATAGTTATAGTAATATCCCTGAACCGACGGGAAAAATCCCTGATGCCTAATACATACGCTGGCTGCACAGACTCAATCTGGCTGGTCTGTGAGAAGATGAAAACAGTGTGTGTTGCAGCACGTCAGGGGTTTTGAAGGGATTTGAGAAGCAGGTCAACTCTTGATTCCTGTCCATAAGCTTGTGTTTCAGTATGATGCAGGCTTCATTAAAGCCACCCAGAGGCCAAGCCTATCTTGATCCCAGCATAAACCTTTTTCTCTTTTTTTGTGCTAGTTTACTTTATAATCACACCCTGTGTTCATGATTTTTTTTCTCCTTGAAACATTTGAAGACTTTTGCTTTTGCTCTTGAGAAAAAGACCTAGTAATCTTATATGTTTCCAGAGTTTCAAATATCAACAGTCACATGCTGTGCACAGCAATAAACTTTTTTTTTCTTCTAAGTAACTTCCTCAGGCATGTCCCAACCAAGCATATACAGATATACAGCATATACAGATATGATTTATTGTATTGATTAATTTTCTAATTTTCTAATTTGATTGTATTAACATTTAATATTGTATATTATTTGAATAAATACATTTATTATTGAAATATTAAAATATATGATAAAAATAATCAAATATGGTATAAATACAAAATGTTGTATGCAAATAATGTTTTACTGGTTTAATGTAATAATATTTTAGTATTTTAAAATGTACTTTATATTGTAAATAATTTAAATAATTATATATCTAAATATTAAAAAAGTAATAAGTTAGGTGTGTATATATTAGTATTTTATATTATTGATATTTAAAATATTTAAAACGTGTGGGTCTTTGTAACGTAAATATTTGTTATTTTACAGTATTTCAGTTAAAATTCAAATAAGTTAAGTATTATATATTTATCTAATATTTATATGTATATATAAGATTTAAATGCAGATCTTACATTCTTTCAGTACAAGCTTAGTTTTCTTAAATGTTGTAGGACTGGAAAGTGACGCTAAATATTTACAAAAAAAAAAGTATTTATTTTTTCTCATTATTATTAATTGTTTTTTTTTGTTTTTTTTAATACAATTCAATTTAATACAATAGCTTTCTCGCCATGTATGTTGTCTGCTGAGTAAGAGGGTTGTTTTTTGTGGTCTGTGCTCTCTGACCGGATTAAATGCTTTGTCCCCATCCATTTGTAAAAGCAGGATTTGAATTTGACAAAAACGGGGGATCAGCACATCCCATAGTACTATTTAGGCAGAGGAATCCTCCATTCTCCATATACATACATGCATTGAGCACACATGTGCAGATACACACAGGTCCCCTCTGCCCCCCTCCTCCTCCTCCCTACACTAAAGGCAGCCCTTTCTCTGTCTTGTGTGTACAGGACATCCCACGCAAGGACTAAGAGTGAAGCAGCAGACCAGGCCTCACTTGCAGCATGTCAGGAATCAGACTTAGCCAGAGCTGTGGCTCGTGAATTATCTTCAAGCTTCCATCAACCAGGTAAGTTACAGAAGAAAAATGTTACTTTCCCCCACACACACCCTGAATATAAGACTTAAATACCCCTGATGAAAGACACCCGATTATAACCACTCACCCTCACTTACATTCCTCGCAACAGATACTTAGCTTCACATAAACCTAGCTCAGAGGAGCTCTGCTGAGGGAACAGTACAGAAAGACATGAATGTTTTTCCCTGGCTAATCAAGTTGATCAAGGTTTTTGGTCACATTTTATTTTAAGGTTTCTCGCTATAAACAAACCTTTAACTACTATGTTTGCCTCAATAAACTCCAAATTTGCTGCTTATTAATAGTAAGGTAGTTGTTTAGTTTAGGTATTGGGTAGGATTAGGGATGTAGAAAGTGGTCATGCATAATATGTGCTTTATAAGTACTAATAAACAACCAATATGTTAATCATAGGCATGCTAATAAGCAACTAGTTAGTAGTGAGAATTGGTCTCTATACTAAAGTGTTACCAGGTTTTTTGACAGTGATATGACATATTTTTCAGGCTCTCTCTCAGTTTATCAGGCTGTTATGCTGCTGTACCTTTAGGATTTCAGACCTCTGTTATGATTGTCTGACCTTTGCATGTCAGTGTAGTTCTCACTGTCATTTTTCAGAACATTAATATGTAAATGTTAGTAGAAAAATGTTAATGTACTCATGGTTGTAAGACAAATAACATGAAAATTGCCAAAAGAATATGATTTATTTATTTATTTTAGTATTTTAATGTCAAAATATTATTGAAATACCAACTTTGGGTATTTGTAATGCAAATATTTAATTAGAGTATTATATAAAATATTACAATTAAAATAAAATAAAGATAAATTTCATACTATGTATCTATAATATTTATCTATAAATAGCATTTAAATGCAGATCTTAGGGTTTTATTTTTTTTTCTTTGGAAACTACAGTTTTGCAAGCTATAGTTTTCTTAAATGCAGTGGTACTGGGAAGTGATGGTAAATATCAGAATATCGCTACATAATACATATACATTTTTTATTACATTTATGCATTTGTCAAACAATTTTATCTAAAGGAACTTCCATTTTGTCCGTTCATTAGGAATGCGTTTTCCTCAATATTGTCCCTGTAAACTTTTCCAACCTGGTCTCATAAAAATACGTACCTCTGGGTACTTTTCTGCAACACCGTTTTTACGTACTTTACTGCACGTTTTGCCGCAGTTTCAAAGAGAAATGTTCACCGAGTGGCGCTAAAACACGGGTTCAATACGTGAACCCTGGCACGTTTTTATTACGTTGATATACTACGTATTGCTGTGTTTTTATTACGTTGTTTCAGGTACATATTGCGGCGGTTCAGAATTCAAATATCCGGGGACTGTCGCTAAAAGTTAATGCAGTATCATGTTGGAAATATGCCCAACTCCAAACCCAACCCTAAACCTACCCGACAGTGTTAACAAATGCAAAACTGATATAAAAATGCATTTGTTGATGCAACCGTGCCATTTGAACTTCCTTATATGCAGATTTGAACTGTTTTGTTGAACCGTAGTTACACGGGATTCAAACCGGAGCTCCTCTCCTCTCAAGTACGTCTCCGTACTCCGTGAGCTACAGAACAAACCGTCGATGAAAACCCATAGATATGAAGCTGGATATGTGCGATGGTAACATTCAAAAGCACCAGTTTTCAAATCTCCCAGCATATTAAAATTGTTTTGAAGTCATAACATAATATTCTTCAAGTAATAGTGCGAAAATTACTCTTTATTAATCGAAACTCTGTAAATTTGTGTGAAAAGGAATAAAAGGTGTCGGAGTTTTACTGCCTCTAGTGTTTATTTATTTTGGAAACTGCAGTGATATGTACTTATCGGTATGTATTTCGCGTCTCGCGAAAAAGTGTCCTCAGGTACGTTTTTGCCATGAGACCAGGTAGCGCTTTTCACTTGCAGATTTACATATAATTCTAATACTGATGTGATAGCGGATTAGGAATAAAAAAAAAATTTTATGTTTAATGTTATTTTTATCAGTAATTCTGCACAATGAGCATATTACACTGCAAAAAAAAAAAAAAAAGATTTTCTTACTCAGTATTTTTTATTTGTTTTAAACTACAAATATTTAAAGGGGTCATATGATGTTGCTAAAAAAAACCATGTCTGCATTTGTGATCGGAGAAATGACAAACAACAAGTGCTACTCTACACTGCTCAAAACTCGCATTTGCTAGAGTGAGCAGAGGCCGGAGGCCTAGAGTGAGCGGAGGCCGGCATGAGTGAGTAGAGGTGGGCGGGCTTGAGAACGGCGCGGCCGGCAGATTCGACGAAGGAGCGGCAACCACATGTGACGACCCCAGGCTGGACTCCGCTTCGTCCACGGTGAAAGCCGATC